ATCTAGGGGATCAGGGAAGTCTTCTCTGAGGAAGTGATACTTAAATTGGGGCCTGAAGAGTAAGTAGGAGTTAGTCAGGCAAAGAGAAGAGGATAGAGTTTTATGGGGCAGAGGAAATAGCACGTGCAAATATCACAAAACAGGCAGGAGTTTGGCACCACTGTAGATCTGACAGAGGTCAAGTGGCTGTTGTTAGAGAGCAAGGAGAAGACTGGCTGGAAGGGTTAACAAGGTCATACCATGCAAGGCCTTGGAGGCTGTGGAAAGGAGTTTGGATCTTCAAAGCAGTCAGAGTCACCAAAAAGTTTTAAGCAAAATGCACCATGATTGGAATTTTGCTTTAACCTTTGCTTCAGCCACCCAATAGTGAATTCTAGTCCATACAGAGTTATCATTCTCATTGTTTTCTATGCTTAGAGCAGCTAAAGTTTTTTCCATAGAGGATTTTTAAATTTTTTCCATTCAAAAGTAATAATTGCAGCACAAACCTCTGACCACTGTGGACAATGTGCCTTTCTTTCAGGAGCTACAAAATAAATTTTAGGGAAAAAAATCCCCACTCTTCCTTGCCTTGCTGACCATATTGAAACCAATGTGAAAGGTGAGAGGTATATTTTTCAATCATGCCAATTAATTTTAAAATTAGAGTAGCATACACAAAATAATTTTATTAATTAATTCCTGCTCATTTGACCTTTGAATATACTTTTCTTTTTTTTTTTTTTTTTGAGACAGAGTCTCACTCTGTTGCCTGGGCTAGAGTGCCGTGGCGTCATCTTAGCTCACAGCAACCTCAAACTCCTGGGCTCAAGCGATCCTCCTGCCTCAGCCTCCCGAGTAGCTGGGACTACAGGCATGCGCCACCATGCCCGGCTAGTTTTTTCTATATATTTTTAGTTGTCCAATTAATTTCTTTCTATTTTTAGTAGAGACGGGGTCTCGCTTTTGCTCAGGCTGGTCTCGAACTCCTGAGCTCAAACAATCCGCCCGCCTCGGCCTCCCAGAGAGCTAGGATTACAGGCGTGAGCCACCGCGCCCGGCCTGAATATATTTTTCTTATATGTCCTTGCCATTATAGCTTCACAGCTACTGCCCTAGTTCAGGCTCTTATTACCCACCTCTGAACTGTGATTTCCTCACTATGCTCCCTACCAATCTTCTAACCATTACATGCTTGAGCCGGAAACCATCATTATCATCTTTTTAAAAAATTATTTTTTATTTCAAAATATTAAGGGAGTACAAATGTTTTTGTTACATAGATAGCTTTATAATGCTTTAGTCAGGGCTATAAGTGTGCACGTCACCTGAATATTGTTCATTGTACTTGTTAGGTAAGATTTTACCCCTTCTCTCCTCCCCCACCCCCCTTCTTGATTTCCAACAATTTTACTTCTGTGCCCACGTGTGCCCATCAATTACTTTCAAATTTTGGGGAAGTACCTGTGGTCTTTGTTTTTCCATTCTTGAGATACCTCATCTTTTACCCTGCCATCAGGCCTGCTTATCCCATCACCAGGCCACTCTGCAGCTCAAAAAACCCTAACCCTTCTCTCATTGCCAAAGCAGGGTTTCTGGAGTGTAGCACATGACTCCGCTCAAATATACCTATTGCTTTCACGTGCATAAAGCATCTCTGGAAGAATACACATGGAACTGAGAACATGGATTGCCTTCAGGGAGGGGAACAAGTGCCTGGGGACAGTTGTAGGAAGATTTTTCTTTATATAATATTTTGTTCCTTTTGAATTTTGAAACCTATGATTTTACTGTTTTTTTTGTAATTAAGAAGTGTGGTTCATGAGTGTATTAGTTTACTAGGGCTGCCATAGCGAAATACCACAGACTGGGTGGCTTAAACAACAGAAATGTATTTCTTCATAATTCTGGAGGCTAGAAGTCCAAGATCAAGGTGTCAGCAGGGTTGTGTATTCTGAGGTCTCTCTCCTTGGCTTGCAGATGGCTGTCTTCCCCCTGTGTCTTCATATGGTCTTCCCTCTGTGTCCTAATCTCCTCTTCTTATAAGGACACCAGTCAGAAGGATTAGAGCCAACTCTAATGGCCTCATTTTAATTTAATCACCTCTTTAAAAGCTCTTTCTCAAAATATAGTTGCATCCTGAGGTACTGGGGGTTAGGGCTTCAACATATAAATTTGAGGAGGACACAAATCAGCCCAAAACATTGAGCCATATGTACTAGAAACATCTGTGGTGCTTGTTAAGAATGATATGACTCTTGTGCTCCATTCCAGAAGCACTGATCAGAATCTACTTGTCATGAGTCTGAGGAAACATGGGTTGTTCGGCTCCAGAAGCCCTCAGATTGGTGGGACTTCACTCTTCTCACTAGAGAAGAATGAGTCTTAGGGCAAGTCATGTTTCTCACTTTGTTCCTATAAATCCTCCTGAGAAGGGAGGAATTCCTTTCCTTCATTCTGCTCCTGTTAACCTCCTGGCATAGGTTACACTACCTAGGCACAGGTTATCCTGGGGATACACACTCTTCTGCCTCGTATCCCTGGACATACACTCCCATCCAACTTCTACAAGATCAGAAGGTATATAGAAGGTCCATTCTGATTTCAGTTGTTTTAAATATACCTCACATTTTCACATGTGGAAACATCAATAATAATAGGAATAGTAATAGAAATGCTATTCAACATTTATTGAATGCTACTATATTTCAGGTATTATGTTAAACATTTTATATTATCTCATTTAATCTTTACAGCAAAGCTTTGGGGGTAGGTGTAATCATCTCCATTTTACAGATGAGAACCAGGATCAGAGATGTTAAGTAGTTTTGTGAAAGTGATCTAGCTAGTAAAGGACAGACTCCAGACTCTAGCCCAGGTCTGTATATCTCCAAAGTCCATGTTTTCCTGCCATGATAGGGATCTTTGCCAATAGGTTATGAGAAATATTGATCTATAGTTTTCTTTTCTTGTGCTGTTGGTATCAGGTAATGCTTGCCTCATAAAACGCATTGGGAAGTATTGGCTTCTCTATTATTTTCTGGAAGAGATTGTGTAGAATTGGTGTTATTTATTCTCTATTTGATTTTTTTAGTTTTATTGTATTTTATTTTTTTGAGGCAGGGTCTTGATCTGTTGCCCAGGCTGGAGTGCAGTGGTGTGATCATAGCTCACTGCAGCCTTAAACTCCTGGGCTCAAGTGATCCTCCTGCTTCAACCTCCAGAGCAGCTTGGACTACAGGTGTGTACCACCTTGCCTGGCTAATTTTCCTATTTTTTGTAGAGAAGGGGTCTCGCTTTTGCTTAGGCTGGCCTCAAACTCCTGAGCTCAAGCAATCCTGCCGCCTTGGCCTCCCAGAGTGCTAGGTCTTTGTTTTTAATTCTGTTTATGTGGTGAATCACATTTATTGATTTGCATACATTGACCATACTTGCATCCCTGGGATGAAACCCAATTGATCATGGTGAATTGTCTTTTTGATGTGCTGTTGATTTTGGTTTGTTAGTATTTTGTTGAGGATTTTTCCATATATGTTCATAGAGGATATTAGTCTGTAGTTTTCTTTTTTTGTTGTGTGTTTTCCTGGCTTTGGTATCAGGGTGACACTGGCTTCATAAATTGAGTTAAGGAGAATTTCCTCCTTCTTTATGTTATGAAACAGTTTCAATAGGATGGGTGCCAATTCTTCTTTGTAGGTCTGGTAGAATTTGGCTGTGAATCCATCTGGTTGCCCAGGGCTCTTTTTGTTGGGAGACTTTTTATTACTGTTTCAATTTTGCTGCTCATTATTAGTCTGTTTAGGATTTCTGTTTCTTCCTGACTCAAACTAGGGAGGTTGTGTGTTTCCAAAAATATATCCATTTCCTCTAGATTTTCTAGTATGTATACATAGAGGTTTTCATAATAGTCACAGATGACATTTTGTATTTCTGTGGTATCAGTTGTACTGTCTCCTTTTTCATTTCTGATTGAGTTTATTTGAGTCATTTCTCTCTTTTTTTCTGGTTAATCTAGCTAGTGGTCTATAGATTTTGTTTATCTTTTCAAAGAACCAACTTTTTGTTTCGTTGATCCCTTGTATTTTTTTAATTTTGCATTTCATTTAGTTCTTTTTTCCCCTCTTTTTTTTTTTTTCTTTGAGACAGAGTTTCACTTTGTTGCCCTGGCTAGAGTGAGTGCCGTGGCGTCAGCCTAGCTCACAGCAACCTCAAACTCCTGAGCTCAAGCAATCCTACTGCCTCAGCCTCCCAAGTAGCTGGGACTACAGGCATGCGCCACCATGCCCGGCTAATTTTTTCTATATATTTTTAGCTGTCCAATTAATTTCTTTCTATTTTTAGTAGAGACGGGGTCTCGCTCTTGCTCAGGCTGGTCTCGAACTCCTGAGCTCAAACAATCTGCCCGCCTCGGCCTCCCAGAGTGCTAGGATTACAGGCGTGAGCCACCGTGCCCAGCCTTTCCCCTCTTTTTTAACAAGTAAAACAAAATGCACAGACATAAGGGACAATGGTCAATCTTACATCAACATAAACACATTGGTATAAAGCCCTTTGCACTTTCTTCTCCTTCCTCCCTGAACCAGCACAAATATAATAATACATACTGTTCAGATAAGTGGTTTGAGCGTTCAATTTCCAAAAGACAGTATTTCATATGAATTTTAACAAAAGGATATCTATAAAATGTGTTATTTAGTACCTCCACTTTGAACATACTTTGTGCACTTCTAAACATCTAGAAAGACTAGATAGTTCAAATAAGGACTTAAGTTTGTCCACTATATACACAGTAGTATTGAGTAAACTACACACATGTAACAATGGTTATATCTGAAAGTATCTTCTAAATAGGAATATTCTGGTCTAGAATCCTTCAATTCTTCCAACTCCTCTCCACTACCGTCTCAGTGGATATAGGCACATGTTTCACTTAGATGTGATGTTATCATTTCACTTCCAAAAATCCTTTTCAGAAGACAGCCTTTCTATTCATTTTAACAAAATGTGTACAAAATGTTAGCTTACTAACTCTACTTTTGTCATACGTTGGCATCCTCTTTAATATCTGGAGACTAGATGTTACAAAATTAGGACTCATTTGTCCGGTATATACACAATATATACAGTACAGCAAAGTTTAATGAAATGCATGTAACTTACAGGGCAATGGATAAGCTGAAATTTTCTAGTATGCACTAGCAAAGCACCTTTTGCAATTTCTTCCCTCCGACCTCCTTCAACCCAATGAACAAATACAGAGAGTGTGCTGTTCACAGAGGTGGTTTAACAATTCTACTTCTAAACATAATATTTCCCATCAGTTCTTAAAAGCTATTTACAAAGTGTTCTACTACTTCTACTTTTAAATACATCAAGCACTTCTAAATATCTAGAAAGACTAGATATTTCATATAAGAACTTGTCCATTGTGTACACAGCACTGTTAAATAAAATTGCCCCCACGTAGCAATGGTTATAATCTGAGGTAACTTTTAAATAAGACCATTTTGGCCTTGAACCATTCCCTCCTCATTTCCTTCTCTCTGCCTTCAATCCAGTGGACAAGCACAGGTATGTTTAATGCTTAGAGATGGTTGAACAAATTCATATCCAAAAGTCATTTACAGAGGACAAACTTTTTCCTATGAATTTCAACACAAAGTATACAAAATGTGCTAATTTTACTAAGTACTTTGTCATACACTGGCAACCTCTTTAACATCTAGAGACTAGATGTTGCAAAATTAGGACTAGTTTTTCCATTATATACACTGTATGCACATAATAAAACAAAGTCACAAAACATAAGAAAAATGGTATGTGAAAATGTCCAAGTATGAACACACTAGCATATTACTTTTTGCAATTCCTTCCCTCCCACCTCCTTCAAATCATTGAACAAGTGTAGATGGTACTATACTGCTCACAGAGGTGGTTTAACAATTCTATTTCCAAAAAACAGTATTTCCTATGAATTTTAGCAAAAAGATATTTACAAAGTGATATTTTACTACCTCTACATTTAACATATGTTGGGCACTTCTAAACATCTAGGCAGACTAGATATTTCGGGTAAGGATATAATGTGTCCACTATATACATAGCAGTCTTGAATAAACTGCACACATGTAACAATAGTTATAATTTGAAAGTGTCTTCAAAATATAAACATTCTGGCCTAGAACCCTTTCCTCCTCCATGAACCCAGTGGGCTATGCTCAAATTTTCTGAAGACAGTCTTTCCTAGGAATTTTAAAACAAAATGTATAAAATATATTAGTTTACTAACTCTACTTTTGTCATACACTGGCAACCTCTTTAACATCTAGAAAGACTAGATGTAAATTAGGACTTGTTTGTCCTTTATGTACACTATATAAACAGGTGAGTAAAACAAAATTCACAGACATAGGAACTATGGTTAATCTTGCCTCACTATAAATGCACATGGGAATAGAACTCTTCCTTCTCCTCCCTCCTCCCTTGAACTGGTACACAAATACAATATGTACTACTCAAGAGATGGTTTGGCCATTCTCCCAAAAAAACATTTCATATGAACTTTAACAAAAAGCTATTTACCAAATGTATTACTATTTCTACTTTTAACATATATCAGGTACTTCAGGCCTTTGTCCCTTGTTGTCAGGATTAAGTAGGGCTCGCCCAACTGGGACAGAGCGGTAATACTACGACCCGGATCTGTGTGGCTCCATGGCCCAAAGAGGTGACCAAGCTTGTGTCCACAGACCTACCTTCTCGGGCCCGCCAAACCTAAATGGCCCTCCATGGTATTTTGGAGGCTGTTGTTCTTCTTGCCCTGCCACACTCACCACCACCCAAAGGCGCTGCATCCTGAAGGCTTGGTGGGGGCTTCACCTAGGCCGGGCAGGGTTGGGCCAGGAAACCCAGTAACCAGTGGAGTCTGGCCTCAGAGAGGCTGCCACCATCATCAGATCACTGAGGTACGGTTGGGAGAAATGTTCACTGCTGTTTTCAGGCTTGGGCCCAGCCAGAGGGCAGCCACAGTGAGGGCTCTGGGTGTCTGCAGGGCAGAAGCTGCAGCCCATCCTGGGACCCACCCAGTACCCACCGACCTGGAGCTGGAAGGCCTGCGGCCGGAGGGCCCGGAGGACCCTGTGGTAGCTGGCTGCACTCTGCGTCTCACTGCACTCATTTCATTTAGTTCTGCTCTGAGCTTTGTTATTTCTTTTCTTCTGCTAGCTTTTATTTGGTTTGTTTGTCTTTCTCTAGTTCCTTGAGGTATGATATTAGGTTGTTAATTTGTGATCTTTCTATCTTTTTGATGTAAGCATTTAAAGCTATGGACTTCCCCCTTAACATTGGTCTTGTGTCCCATAGATTTTGGATGCTTGTGTCATGTTTGTCAGATAGTTCGAAAAATCTTTTGATTTACATCTTAGTTTTGTCACTGACCCAAGGATCGTTCTGCAGCAGGTTGTTTAATTTCCATGACTTTGTGTAGATTTGAGAGTTCCTCTTGGAATTGATTTCTAGTTTTATTCTACTGTGGTCTGAGAAGATATATGGAATGATTTCAATTTTTCTGAATTTGCTAAGACTTGTTTTGTGGGCTAACATATGATCTATCTTGGAAAATGTCCCATGTACTAGTGAGAAGAATATATATTGTGCAGTTTTGGGGTAGAATGTTCTGCAAATGTCTGTTAGGTCCATTTGTTCTTGAATCTTGTTTATGTCCAGTGTTTCTTTGTTGATCTTCTGCCTCAATGATCTGTCCAGTTCTGTCAGTGGAATGTTGAAGTCCCCAGCAATTATGATGCTGCTGTTTTATTTCTTTGTTTACATCTAATAGCATTTGTTTTATAAATCTGGTAGCTCCTGTGTTAGGTGTATGTATATTTAGAATTGTTATATCTTATTGCTGAATTGCTCCCTTTATCATTATATAATGACCATCTTTGTCTTTTTTTTTTTTTACCATTGTTGATTTAAACACTATTTTATCTGATATGAGAATAGCTACTCCTGCTCGCTTTTGGTCTCCATTCACTTGGAATTTTTTTCCATCCCTTTACCTTGAGTCTATGAGAATCCTTGTGAGTTTGATGGGTTTCTTGGAGACAGCACGTACTTGCGTTGTGTCTTTTCATCCATTTAGCCAGTCTGTACCTTCTAAGCAGAGGATTAAGACTGTTTATGTTCAGCCGGGCACGGTGGCTCATGCCTGTAATCCTAGCACTCTGGGAGGTAGAAGCAGGAGGATCACTTTAGGTCAGGAGTTCAAGACCAGCTTGAACAAGAGTGAGACCCCATCTCTACTAAAAATAGAAAAAATTAGCAGGGTGTGGGGGTGCACGCACGCCTATAGTTCCAGCTACTCGGGAGGCTCAGGCAGGAGGATTGCTGGAGCCCAGGAGTTTGAGGTTGGTGTGAGCTATGCTGATGCCACGGCGCTCTAGCCCGGGCAACACAGCGAGACTCTGTCTCAAAAAAAAAAGACTGTTTATGTTCAATGATAGTATTAATATGTGAGATACTATTCTGTTCATCATGTTGAATGATACCTAATTGCTTTATTTTTCTCCCTTGTGTTACTGTTTTATAAGAATTGTGAGTTTTAACTTTTGGTATTTTTAACACTGGTGAGTATTGATCATTCTGTTCCATGTATAGAGCACTTTTAAGCATTTCCTGTAGGGCAGGTCTGGTGGTGGCAAATTTCCTTAGTGTTTGCTTGTCTGGGAAAGACTTAATTTTTTCTTAATTTACAAAACTTAGTTTTACAGGATATAAAACTGTTGGCTGGCAGTTATTCTGTTTAAGAAGAATAAAAATGGGACCCCAATCCTTTCTGGCTGGTAAGGTCTCTGCTGAGAGGTCTGCTGTTAGTCTGGTGGGTTTTCCTTTGTAAGTAACTCATTGCTTTCATCTTTACAGCTTGTAGGATTTTCTCTTTCACTTTGACTTTGGTCAGGCTGATGACTATGTGTCTTGGTCATGTCCTATTTTCTATGAATCTTCAAGATGTTTAATGACCATCTTGTATTTGGTTATCTAAATCTGTAATGATACCAGGGAAGTTTTCCTCAATTATTCCCTCAAATAGCTTTTCCATGCTTTTTACTTGTTCTTCTTCTCCCTCTGGGATACCTATAATTCTTATAGTAGCTTGCTTTGCATATTCCTGCATTTCTCACAGTGATTGTTCATTCTTCTTTATTCCTTTTCTCCATTTTTTACTGACTGGATTAATTCTCTGTATCAGTCCAGAGGCCTGCTGCAGTGGAGGGGCCCTCCTGCCACTCCAGTTGCAGTATCCTCAGGGGAAGCATGGAGCCTGCGGTTCTCTCCTTCCCCAGGTATGGGTGCCTTCCTTAAGTACCTCTGGTCCTGCTGAGGAGGTTGTCCCACTTCTTTCTTCTTCACTTCACTCCTGCCTCCTCTCTCTGCTCAAAAAAAAAAGAAAAATATACGATTTTCAGTGCTCTCTCTTAGACAATCTATTCAAAAGTGAATATCTATCTTCCACTTTCAATCCTCTCTGCAAGTGCAGTGTTCTGCAGGCTGCTTCTAGTCCACCATCTTGGCCCCCTGTTTCCTGTATTTTCTAATGCAGTCTGAGTATCCCTTATCTGAAATGCTTGGGACAGAAGTGTTTCAGATTTTGGATGTTTTCAGATTTTGGAATATTTGCATATACTTAATGAGACATCTTAAGGATCAGATGAAGTCTAAACACAAAATTCATTTATGTTTTATATATACCTTATACACATAGCTTGAAGGTAATTTTATACAATATCTTAAATAATTTTGTGCAGGAAACAAAGCTTTGACTGCAGCCAATCACATGAGGTCAGGTGTGGAATTTTCCATTTGTGATGTCATATCAGCACTCAAAAAGTTTCAGATTTTGGATTTTTGCATTAGGAATGCTCAACCTGTCTAAACATTCAATGCTAAAAATTTCTTTCTAAGGATTACTTTAGTTGCATCCTACAATTTTGATTTTTTACTTTCATTTTCATTCAACTTGCTCTTAAGCTTTATTAGGAGCGGTCTAGAACACTGTACAGACTAGAATTAATTTTGCCCTCCTGCTAAGGTACCAGTCTTCTGAGAATTCTACTATATGATCTGTGTATTAGAAGATTTTTCTACTCTGGCTGGTGAGAGCATGAACTATTTATTACCAGCTTTACGTGAGATTTAGAAATTATTCTAATTACTCTTTTTTTTTGTGGTTCTTTCCTTGCCCCTCAGTATTTTCATCTCACTTCTGTGGAGACCAATACTCAGCCAGAGACTTAAGGGGATACCTCCATAAATCTCTGGAACTCTTTCTCTGTGCAGCTGCCTACTCTCTGGTCATCTGTTCCATAAATTATAGCTGCCTTGCCCTCCCTGAATACCAGTCTCTGTCTTCTCAACTCAGTGAGACTGCTGGGCTCTGTTTGGGTTCCTTCTCATTGTGCTGCATGCTAGAAACTGCCTCAAGACGCTAACCTCATGCAATTATAGGGCTCATTTTGTTTGTTTCCAGACTCTTAGAAATCGCAGTCCTTCACTGCTTATTGGCTAATGTCTAAAAACTGTTTTCTCAGATATTTTGCACAATTTTATAATTTTTAGTTTGGTAGGATAAATCCAGTCCCTGCTACTCCCTCTTGGCCAGAAGTCAAAGTTAAATTAACTGAGTTTGAACTCCTGCTTTGCTTTGTTTTTCTTATCTTGCTATGCCTAGATTTTAGGGGAATGAGGTAAACAACAGAAAAAGAAGGCTATATCAGGAATTCATTAAAAAAATAAGCCCATGCTGTCCCAACTCAGTCCCTACTCAGCTAATCTGACAAATAAATGTGCTAGATATCTAATTGTTTATAATTGATAATGATAACCCTCAGGACCTTGGTCAGCAGATCAATAATCTGTCTTACCCAGAGCTTGCTCACTAAGAAAGGATGATGAACTCAAATTTTATAAAAAGGTTTTCTAAGGGAAGTGGTGGCGGTTGGTTGTGGGGAGTAATACAAAGAGGTTTCTGCTTAACATTTAGCTTGCTAGAACATTCTATTGCCCAAGAGAATTGCTTCAGACTTTCCAATTAGTAAAGGTTTTTCTTGTACCCGACATTTATTACCTACTTTATCATCTCTACATACTGTTGCTTCTTGCCCTTTTTTATTCTTCCTTACCATCAATGTCCCTTCCCCATAGACACCATCTTCTTTCTGGCCTCAGCATGTCATAAGCCGGGATATATATCCTAAACTATTAGTAATGAATCTGGATATAACCCAAATCTCTCTAGCTGTACTTTTCACTGCCCTCTGTGGCACACCCTCTACAGGCTGATTTTCTCACTGTCTTTTGAATATGTTGACTTATTTGGAATCTTAAGTCCATGCTCATGCTGTTG